TATATGTACACTATGAGCTTATGCACCAGAGACAAATTCCTTGTATGTCCAATCATACTTGGCCAATAAAGAACTCCTGTTCTGTTCTGTTCTGTTCTTTCTGTTCTGTTGTAGTCCATTCCATTCCATTCCATTCCATTCCATTCCATTCCATTCTATTCTATTCTATTCTATTCTATTCTATTCTATTCTATTCTATTCTATTCTATTCTATTCTATTCTGTCAGCTGCAGACTTATTCTTGACAAGGTTTACATTCTTTCCAAAGGCAAAAGCTATAAGTACAGGTAGCCCTGAACTTACAACCATTAGTTTAATGACTGTTCAAAGCCACAATAACACTGCAAAAAAGTGACTTATGACTGGTCCTCATCACAGCATCCCCACAGTCATCTGCACAAAATTTGGTGCTTGGCAGCCAGCATATATTTATGGCAATTGTACCATCTTGGGGTCTCTGATTGCCATTCACGATTTTCCCAGCCAGCTTCCGACAAGCAAAGTCAATGTGCAAAGCTGTATTTGTTTAACAACCATGTGATTTACTTAACAACTGCAGTAATTTGCTTAATCGTGGCAAAAAAAGATCTTAAAATTGGGCATGATTCACTTAGCTAGCAGATCTGGACTGCAAAATCCAGATGATGACCAGATGGCAGCAAAGAGTTAGGTCTTTCTGTACCTGCTAATGGTTATTTTGATTTTCCAGCCCAGATCTGACAGCTCTGGATAAGGGGTTTTGTTGAAAGGCAAGCTATAAATGCAATAAGCTAATAATATAACATATAAGCATTAGGAATTCATTTTCCAACAAGAGTGTTCCAAAACGTCTGGACTGTTCATATCTTGCCAAGCTACAGGCAAACAAGTTTGTTTAAAATGTGAATGCGCACATTTAAGTTATAAATTCTTTGTAACTGTATCCCAGCCTTCTTACTCATGGGTGACTAGACTGTAAATGGGTATATTAAGGAGTATCCTATTCAATATTTAATATAATATGGCTCAAAGCTGAGTCAGTACTATTTTGATTGAACTTCTGATTTGCCAATTGATTAGTGTAATCATTTATAAGGCCTGATGAAAGTCATCTGGTGATGCTCGAAGAGGACAATAATAATGGTCTGAGGGAACTCTCAATTTACTTTCTTCTCCAGTTTTGGCATTTTAAAGATATGTGGACTTCCACTCCCAGAATTTCCCTGCAGCATTGGGAGTGCAAGTCCACATATCTGGAAGTTGCCAAGATTGAGAAACTATTTACTTCAATCAAAGCTGCATGGAGATATCACAACAGGCTTAATTTCAAGGTAATATGAATGTATGGTGATGCCATAATAAAGAAAGCAAACCTAGTATTAGATTTTCATTAACAGCTAGCGCATACAGACACACAAACTTCACCATTTACACAATAAACAAAGCAAAACAGAGCACCAAAGTGCTAAATGTAGAGTTGAAGTTAGTTGACACACAAACAGTTTTACAGATAATCCTCAACCTACAGTCACAACTGAGCCCCAAATTTTCATTGCTAAGCAACCCAGTTGTTAAGTGAGTTGTGCTTCATTTTACAACCTTTTTGTCACAGTTGTTAAGTGAATCACTGCAATTATTAAGTAAAATATACAGTCGTTAAGCAAATCTGGCTTCCCCCAATGACTGCTTGTTGGAAGTTGGCTGGGAAGTTCACAAATAATGATCACATGACATCAGAACAGTACAATTGTCATAAGTACATGTCAGTTGCAAGCACTCAAATTTTGATCACATGACCATGGAAATGCTACAATCGTCATAACTGTAAAAAACAGTCATTAGTTGGGGCTATTGTAACTTCCAATGGTAACTGAATAAATGGTTGTAAGTTAAGTACTACCTACACTGCTGAATTTCATTTACTGAAAACAATAAATAGATACATCAGAGAGATATTGTTAGAATTGTCAGAAAAAGGGGGAAAAGTGTTTACAACTATTCAGATCAGCCTTCCCTATCTGGTTGTCCACCACAGAAGTCTTCAGGTTTTAGAATTTCCAGCCAATATGGATCTTACTACCTTAGCAACACAGCAGAGGGATATTTGGTTAGGATAAGCTACTTTATTGCTCTGATTTATATGTAGTCCTCCTACATCCAAAGGCATTTCCCTAGAATGAGGTATCAAATACTTCAAGATGACAGCTTTTGCCAGAAGACTGACACTCCACCATTTTAGAAAGTACACTGAGATGTATAAAATGGCAGGGACTTCAGCTGTAGGGCCCAACTGCTCTCTTGACTGTTTTGAACTTCCAGAAGCTCCTGCCTTCATGCTATTTCCTTGGTTTTTGATGATATGTGCAGTGTTGTTTACAGGGAAAAAGTGATTTAGGAGTTCCACAAAGTACAGTTTTTGAATGAAAACAAGGTGAACGGCTCAGATATTGATTGCGTTACATGTTCTTATGGATGCATAAGAACCATCTTCTTATTCCATGAGATCTAGGAGCAAAGACTTGCTGATGGTCTTCTCCCCAAAGGAATACCATCTGTGGGTACTGTTGTGTCCTGAGCCTGCAAAAGCAGGCTTTGGATGTTGCAATGGTCCTGGGCTGTTGCATGCTGCCCGGGACCAGACTGAGTGGCACCAGCCTGCGCGCATGCGCAAGGCTCAAAAGCACACCATTCTTTGTTACCTTTTGCCCAGGGATTCTATTTAGAGGCAGAGAGGCCTGCAAGCCTCTGAGTTGTGTTGGAGAGAACTGAAGAGAATAAAAGCTGTTATTACCACCAGAATGTGTGCTCTTCTTTCGCCATTGACTCGAGGACTCAATAGGTACCCTATTGACAACTCTATTAATGTGGAATAATGAACAATCACTAGAAAAATTATGTGTCTGCATAATTACTGGAATAGTGCTGTGTTAGTAGTATGTAATGCGCATTACACTTAGATACAATGTATGTAGCAAACCCTCCAATGTATGTAGCAAACCTAATGTATTACAATGTATATTTTAATATGTGTTCCTTTGTTCCTGAGAAAAGGAAAGTATAAAACTGAAGTCTGAACCCGCCCTCAGGGTTCAGAATCACTTGTTGTTATAGCTTCTGAACCTGCACAATAAATCTCTCTGCTAAAACCCTCTGGAATTCGTTAAGAGTCCTTTCGTTTTTCCACAAGACTATAGGTAGAGTCCATTTTTGTGATCCAGTTTTCATAAACCTGGAACACTGCCTCTCTAAAGAGCTTTCATAGGACTATTGAAATCATGGATGACATTAAGATTTGGCCTACCCATGTGGATTGTTTTGGAGTTTAAATGGTTGGAAGTATGTGCTATTTTAATTTTTCCATAATAATGTACGATATATCTCTGAAAGTTGCAGGACTAGAGCAGCATGAATATTACACATTCACACTAACAAATATCTACTGAGTGATTTGGGGGTAACTTATTAGTATTACCCTAAAAATCAATAGTATTTACAAAAGTAAACAGTTTGACACTTTCCATTAAATTTTCTATGTACTAAGTAGGGACCAGATTTCTAACTCTATTTGTCTAAATGAATCCAATTGAAAATCCTTTTTGCTTCTTCTTCATATTTTGGTGGTGTCTAAGCCTAAATTTCAAATTAAAATTCAGGTCTTCAAACAGACTGAAATATTCATTTTTATTCATCAACAGACGCAAAACCATATTATGTAGTAAAAGTATCTAGTTTTTAACAAAAGAAAGTCAATTTTTAACAATGGAAAGAAATTTAATGAGATAACAAATTAGAAAATATTGCCAATGCAAGTGTATTGATGTCTATATTTATATCGACATTGCAGTCCAAACAGATATATTCAGAAGAAAAGCACACAGATTTGATTAGGATTGTACTATAAAGCCATTAATTCTGAATTCATTGAGCAATGAAGGTTTTTGTTTGCATAGAAAATCACTTTCCATATTCAGAAGTATTTCCCACTAATTTAATATATCATATTTAAATATTAAAGCCATAAGAATTAGAGCTCATTGCTGTAAACCTGCATTACCACATTAAGAAAAAGTTGGTGGAATTAAGTTTTCAGTCCATGTGTGTTATTTAAGGCAAAAAAATACTATCCAAACTTAAACATACTAGTTTTAAATTACCTACTGATCTCAATCGGGATTTTCTTATATAGTTTATTCATGTTTATTCATGTGAATAAACCAGGTTAATGATAAAAGAATTTGTTCTTGGTCATAATACAGGTGGCCCGTGACTTACAACCATTTGTTTAATGACTGAAGTTATAATGGCATTGAAAAAGTGACTTCACTATGGCCATTTTTCACACTTATGATCACTGCAGCATCCCTGTAGTCATGTGATCTAAATTTGGATGCTTGGTCTCTGGCATGTATTTATGATCATTGCTGTGTCCCAGGATCATGTGATCCTCTTTTGCAACCTTTTGACAAGCAAAGTCAATGGGGAAGCCGGATTCACTTAACAACCATGTTACTAATTTAACAACTAGAGCAAATCATTTAACAACTGTGACAGAAAAGGTCATAAAATGGGATAAAACTCATTTACCAACTGTCTCACTTAGCAATGGAAATTGTGGTCGTAAGTCGAGGACTTTCTGTACAAACATCCTTACTTTTAACATTTTAACTGTCAAAACAAGTCCACTAGGTTCCTAAGAATCTCACTGCCAGCCTAAACTTTGTAAATATAAAAACGTGTAACAGCTGCCATAGAAAGTTGATTCTATGGCTTTGCCTTTAAAAAAAAAAACAGATTGAAAGTTCATATTGTGACTTTAAATAAATGTCATCTTTTTTCATAATCGTTTATTGTGTGGAAGTTTTCATGTTGACTCAAAAAGACTTGATATACAATGGAAATTTCTCAAACATATTTTCCAATGGAAATAATATAGCCAAGTGTGTGCATGAAATGTTAAACATGCTGATGCATTAGTAGGAAATTACTGAGAAGTAGGAAAAGGAATTGAAAGTCACAATCACTGAAATGAGGAAAACCTTTTTATTATACAGTGTAAGAAACAATAAACAAATATATTCCTGAGTTAGTAATACCTTCCAATCAAATTATTAGACACGGTTTATTGGCGCTAGAATCATGTTTTCCTACCTAAGCTGCCTACTTACAAAATGATTTTTTAAAAAAATTATGACAAGGCATAAGCAGGTACCATATGAACTGATTGGATTGCCCAGCTAGATCAGCCAACTAGATCAATTATTTCATTTTCATTATTCATTCTTTTCCCAAATCCAGGATATAAAACCTGTTGGTGACCCTTTGCTCCTAAGTAAAACAATTTTATATGAGGCACATCAATTTTGAAGGATGGCTTGCATACCTGTTTAGAAAACTGCCCTACCATTGATCTAAAGCTACAGAAAATAAATCAGGAGATTGGTTGCTAATTAGAAGGAACCCTAAACATTTCTCATTTAAAATGGGCGATTCTGTCTCTGGAGATAAATTAGGTAATCATAATCAGCACAAAGTTTAGAAAAATACAACTCACATAGATTTGTAACAGCATTTTTACTCATAATTAACAGTTTTTCCTATGAAAAGCACAGGGATTTTGAGTAGAACTGACACAGCAGCTTTATAACTGAGGATTTCCCCCCCACTAACTCAGTGCAGTATCCGAAATAGACAAGACAAACAGGCATATTAATTTATCAGTCTATATGAAGGCTTGTTATGAAAATTAATGGAAGGTAGAGAATGTAGAATTATTTTAGTTTATATTCTTCATCCAGATGCTGATAACAACAACAACAACATTTGCTGCCTTTTAGAGTTCACTGTGCATCTCAGCTTCTTGACAAAGACCTATCAAGAGAGGACAAAATTAGACACCAATAGAAGGTCAGACAATTAGATTATCTCACAACTACATGTTTATATTTATTCAGGTTTCAGACGCCCTTGATCATGATAGTGCAACAGATTATTCACCATTGTTCAAAAAACCTAAAAACAAAAAACGTATCCTGATACACATTTTGAAACAGAGTTATTGATGTGTTTTTAATATCATTAATTTCATTTTAAGGTTGGCCCAATATATTGGTTTGACACAGTATTTTAAAACAGAGCAACCATATTTTTAAATATAATTTCACGCATAATTATAGGTGTGTTAAGATAAAAAAAAATCTTTGAGGTGAACAGTATCTGTCCATATTTTGGGCAAATTGCTGGCATTAAGACAACAAGCAAATATCTGATGATTGAATCACTATTTAACATGATTGTTCTCTTTCTTTATAAATTAAACAGAATTGTCTGTTCTTATATACACAGCACACAACTTTTCCTTTCAGTATTTTGCTTTGTAGAAGCTATCAAAAAGCTATTTCAATTTAATAAACAAAGAACTTTGGTATAAAAATATTAAATGCTCTTTGTAGAAGAGTCCTGCCCATTTATCTAAAAATCACAGCCCCAGTCTTTAACCAAATTATTGGGAAATAAATCCCCTTTTTGTGCTGCTTGTTTCTGAATCAACAGAGTTAATACTGGCATCTAATCTCTGAACATAAATAGCCTCAGCTTGAATTTGATTCTGTATTTGGCGACAGGAATATGTTTCAGATACCTTAGCAAAAGAGAATAAACAGGGTGTTTTTTTTTCTTTTGTGACATACTTGGGTTTTTCTTATGTAGTCTATTAAAGAGCTCAAAACAGAGATCTGAATAATAAACTAAAATCAGAGTTACAAAATGCCATCAAAGAAAAAATAAAAAGGGCTATCTGAAAGAGATTGTCCTCAGATGACTGCTGCATTTATTCCTAGAAGTTTGAATTTACACAACCCATCACAGAGAAAGATTAATAAAACTCAGTATTTACTAGAAATTTCTGGGCAGGAGGGAGAAGAAAAGATAATTATGAAACTGTAAAGGCTCATTAAAAATAGATCAGTGGAGAGTACATCTTTATCTTCAAATCCCAGAGAATGTTATTAGACTACAGTGAAAATGTTAGCATCATTTGTATACTAACACTGAGATATTGTGTAGGACTTGGTTGTCCTGTCTTGGGCTGACAACCCATTTTGAAGGATAGTCTTAGCAAGCTGCCTAGAAAACCGCTGAATTTGAAAGCTGTACTTTTTGGAGAAATAATAGATGTGCCAAGCTGAGCAAGTGAAATGGAAGCAAAAACATCAGGCTTTTATAGAATAATAGAAGCATTTTTCTACCCTTGTGAGACTTAAAAATGCATGAATGGCTTCTGCTCAAGCTTTCTACATACATAAATAAATTCACCTTTGGGATGAGAATGAAAAATTTCAGCCAAAGAGAATAATTTTTCAGAGTTATGAGCATGTGAAGCTGATTAGAATAATGGAAACTTCTATATTACCTTAAAGATAATCATGGGTTGGGGACAGATAGACATTATGGCAGTCTATTATATTGTAGAAACAAATTAACTGATACAAATCCAACAATACTACATTCTTGACCAACGTCTTAATCCTATTGTTTATAATAGTGGGGCAATGAAAATTGCCCTTTAGGTAAATTAATGTCCACCCAATTTTGTTTAAGTAGACTTCACTGGCACAACATAAATGCTGAGTTATACATTTATACTGATGTCACTGATCCTACAGCAAATTTCACTTTCCAGCAAATGACTACAATGTCTATTAACTTTAGAAACAATTCCTTTAACTGGGGGGGGGGAAATATCCTTGTAAGAACTGTGAAAAAGAATAGATAAATGCTGCTTGGCTCTTTTGATTTCTTCCTGGCAGAAAGAGGAATATAGAGATTTTAAGAGAGATCAAAGAAATCTTTTGACAGATAACTGATCCATGGTTGTCTGTATCAAAAAAAACCAAAACACCCTCATCTTTTTAACATAGCATATGGAAGAGTTTTGGGCTTTTTTTAATGAAACACCAGATGCCAACATCATGTAAACATGGAAGAAACAACACATATTTTCCACCTAAAGGTTGCCTCAGTTTGACAGATTAAGATAGATTCATAATTTATCATATATTGATTTTAATAAGGTTGTGGTGCTCTGCATTTTCCCCTCTCCTGATGAAAGAGGTACATAGATCAGTAACTGCTTTGCAAGGCAACTTTTTTGTAGACTATCGCAAATATGTCACAGCTGCTAAAGTGTACCTTGTAAAACATTTCACACAGACTGTTTATCTTTTGTGCTGCAAAGAAATGCAGACTGACACAATTATGTAGTTACTTCAACTAAGTCAATTTTTTTTCCACAGAAATTTCATATTGGTATGTTATATATTGTTCATTTCAGACCATAAGCTGATGGAAATAACTAATTGCATTTAAAGAAACTTATAATCAAAGCTACGGTATAATATGATTTGTAGAGATGGGAAATGAGTTAGAAACACCCACAGGGTTTCTCTATATTCTACTACGCTTTTTTATTTCTTACATTTATGGGGCAATTTCTGGAAAATGTGATTTTTTTTTCCCCTACTAGTTTGGAGGCAGACATTAGCAATTAAACACAAGTGTTTGGTTTGCTAAAGCTGAACATTTTGATTACAGTAGGATTGGAATGAATACCTATATTTCCTTTTTTTCCTTTTTTGAAACCCTCTCTATGTTTCAGCATTTGGAAGGGGGTGTTTTAAAAACTTTCTACTTACTGAAACAATAGAAAGAATGTATGATTGTTTACTTTTCTTTCTGAGTTTTCTCTTTAGCATGTCAGCCATATTTATAATCCTGTGAGATTTTACAAGGTCAGACAGAAGTACTGATCTTTTCTATTATTTGTTTTTCCTTGTTTTGTGTAAATAACCTGTGCAGGCACTAACAGGAAACTACTATGATGGTCGCCTCCTCCTCCTCCTCCTCCTCTTTCTATTTAGTTCTTCAAGAAGACATTTAGTTCTTTCTATTTAGTTCTTCAAGAAGGAAGGGGGAAGTGAAGAGATGAGAGGGGGATGCGGTCTGGGGGGAAATGGGTGAGCAATGTCGGAATTTGTGTTGTATTTTAACTTCTTATGTATCTGAATTTTTTTTCTTATGATTGTAATGAAAATAAAATAATAAAAATTGAAATAAAAAAAAAGAAGACATTTTGAGGTCTGACAGACTTTCTCATCCTTTTTCATAGTCATTGCAGAATTTTGCCAAAATCCTAAACACGCTTTAGACTATGTAAACTGGCTTAGAGGAACAATCTAGCATCACCGTTCTAAATATTATTAGAGGGAAATAAGTCTCATAGCTTCTAATCAAAGCTCACCAACTTCTCAAACACTATTAAATTGCAGGGAGCTACACTATCAAAATGGGAATACTGCAGTTGTCTTGAATTATGATTTATAGTCAGATAGATGATAAGACATATAGGCAGGCAAGCAGACAGATAGATACTGACCTAACCGAAAGAGCCTTTGTTTTCACTATTAATTGAGAAAGACCACAACTTAGCCTCAGCTTGATTCTATCACATTTATTTATTCATTTATTTTTAAATGAATCCTTTTTATTTAAAGTCATCACCTTGATAAGTGTGCATACAATGCATCCTAAGAATCCAATATATCACATCTTATTTTGTCAAGAATAAGAGAAAGAAAGACAACTGAAAGGATATAGATTGGAGAAAAAGTGCCTTAAAACAAAGGCAAATTTCAAAATGAGATTAACATGCTGGAGGAAATTGACTCATACTATTCTTCTCTTTCTTCCTGCTTATTTCTACCCTTTTCTCTTTACTTTCACGTTGCTTGAAAACTATGGAAGGAAAAGGCAAACTGTACATGAGCTTTAAAAGTGACCATGTGGGACGATTTGTTTCTACTATATTAAGAACATCAATTATATTGTGATCAAGTGACAGGTGAAATTTAAATACTTTTATCATTTATTTGCAATAGAAGATTTTTTTAACAATTACAAATTTCCAGACCATGTAATTATTAATTCCTCTTCTGTATTGTTATGAAATCTTCTAGTACCCATTAATTTGCCCTGTTAACATTAGAACTTATCATCTATTTAAATCAGCTTTTTAAAACATCCAGTCACTCGCCTATTTTTACAATCTGCTCATTCAGATGTGATGGTTTAGCAACTTCATCCTACACATATTTCCTGCTAAGATTCAGCTTGTTTTGTGGTCTTATGCGAGTAACTATCCATAGCATTTCAGTTTACGTTTATTTAGGATTTGGCACAAGAGATTGGATAGTCCTAAAACAACCTTCTTGATTTTAGAATCAACTGCATAAAACTGGAACTCTAGACCTATTAAAGCCCAGAAATAAACGCTTCTAAAAATATACTTGCCTATTCATCCAAAAGAAAACAAATCTTGGTTTGGATTTATTTCCTTTTGGATAAATAGGCAAATATATTTCTTAATTCTTTCACCAACTTTTCTTGGCAGGGCAATGTCCATGCACCTTCAATATAGAAAATATTATTTTCCAAAGTGTTTTTGCTGCATCCCAGCAACACAACATGGATTGTTGGGGGTGGGGGAGGGAGACAGGTGGGGAAGAATTGCTGTTGAGAAAGAAGCACATGTTACATCAGACACAGTACCTGATTTTTCAGTGCACAGCTTGTCAGCCAGAGAGTGTGACTCCCGAGTGATAACTGACATTATTTCATCTTCATACTGTTCTATGATAGTTTCACACTGTAAAGAGGAAAAACAGCAGAAAAGAACTAAACAAGGCCATTTACACAGAGCAACCAAAGGAATATCACGTCAAGAGAGACAATTTGGGGGTTTTTTTTGTTTTTTTTTGCCAAGGCAGCGTGCTTGCCTGATCAGTTGTCCTGTAACAGTATTTAGCGTTAACAAAAAAATAAGATTTCATTATAGGCTCATTCAAATTTCATCTGCTAAAAGCAAATGATGAATGATTCCGCTTAATGCAGGTTGTTTTATGACACAGTTGGTTGAAACGGTTCTAGGCATTGATGCTAATGCTTTGAAATGGATGGATTATCCATCATATATCCAGACATATATAGTATGTGTATATGGAGAAAGAAATTATTTCACTCATCACCAAATACTATTATTTTTTTCAAAATGAAGAAAGCATCAGTGACTTTATATAGCATAAGTTTTATTTCTGATTTTGTCAGCATTGGGCCTCCTCCTCTCACAGAAGCTTTATTTGATTACTTGGCCTTAAGCACTGGTCATAAGCTGCTGTCCCCAAAATCTAGAGAGGATCCCAGCAAGGGAGAAACATTCTATAAGATGCCCTTAAAAATAATCAGGAAGCCAATTTTTATCACAAAAGGATCTGATTCTAACATAAAATTCTACCCCAAAGAATCCAGTTCTTAGGTTCAAATTTCATTCGTGATGTGCATTCGTAAATAAATACTGCTTCAGCATATTAAGTAAGTCTCAATGGATTTTATAATGCAAAAATTGCCTTTGAAAAGTGAAATTTCAAATATAAGTTCCTTAACATTTTTACATGCTCTTTTATGTTTATTTAGAATTTGGCAAAATAGCTTGGATGATCCTAAAACAACCTTCTTGGTTTTATAATCAAATAAATGAAATTGAAGCCAAAATGAGTAAATGATGAGATTTCTGCTGAAATTCTTTATTTGATCATTGTGATAACTGTTGAAGATCAGTTGTTAATTTGGTTAAAGGAACCAACTTTTCTTGGCAAGGAATTTAATTGGCATCAAAATACCCTACAGAAACTCCAGACCTATTAAAATCCAGAAGTAAATTCTTCTAAAATAAGAAGACTTGCTTTCTTTTCCAGAGGTCTAATTTTGGAAGAACAGGCCAATATATTTCCAGATTTCTTTCTTTTTTCTTACAGGCTCATGAGTATTTGTTGATATGTTTGAGGCATAGGCCAGCTCAAGAACAAGACTTTTCTGTCAACTTATTCTAGGCCTCCATTTGAGCTGAGCAAAGTCCAAAGGAAGAAAAGTGGGAAAGATACAATAATTAAACTCCCCACTATTTCAACAGCTATCAGTATTTGAATTAGCAATCTTTCAATCTGAATGCAAAACCTAGCATCACAATTTCATGTTTTCTTGCAGAACAGAGTAGCCAGTTTTTGTCTTTAGATTTATATTGCTGAAAATCATGGAAGGTAAATCAGTAGATCTGTTTCGCTTTTTTATCTTTTATTTAAAAATGATTTTAACTTAAATGTTTGATAATCCAAAGTGAAAACAGAATGGCATTATCCATGCATACTGAGAGAAATTGAGATCTGTATTCCATGGTGTTTCTTTTGCTTTAACTATCCTGTCCCTTTTATTATTATTAAGACATATTAACTCGGGGTCTGAAAAATACCCAAATACTATAAAAGCCTTAAATTTAGATTCAGGGAAGCAAATTAATCTACAGTATTAAATGCAAGGGTCAAAAGAGTTCATCCTCCAAAGTCATCAGTTTATTCTGGTTCTTACCGCATATTTCAAGGGTTTATAAGCATCAGAATAAAAGAAATATTGTTTATATATTGGATATATTTCCTCATCCTTCCTCGGAGCATATCTCTTGAATATCTTTTTCTTAGTTACAGGATCATCCTCAAGTTTATAATCATTCATCCGATCGCATATATTTTCCAAAATGTCTGTTAAGAAGGTCTCTGACTTTGCAAAAGGAATCTAAAGAAAAAAAAAATTTACAGACAAATAATTTTTTCAGATTTTACCAAAGCAAAATCCTGCAGGCATACATAAACACAGAATCCTTAATCTGGATTGACAGTACAGAACAATGCCTCCAGATCTCCGTATCTACATAATTATTGTCTGATATTGTATTACATATATAATTAAAAATGTCAGCTAAATCTAGGATGAGTCTGGAAATAATTAAACGTTTAAGGTGCTAATAAAATATGCTTTTTAGCCTGAAAATATATGTGCCATTGTAAGCTGATTTTTAAGCGCAAGATGTGTTTAATTTTTTTTTTTAAATTGCAGTGGTATATTTTATGTTCAAAACTCAGCCTACAAAGAGAGAAACTTTGTTTTTCAGTTCTCAGTGAAGTCTTAATAGATTCCTTCTTAGAATATGCTTGGTTTCTTTAACCAAAGCAAAGTTTCCAAACGTTCTGCTCCCCCCACCCTCCCCACACTTACGCCGGGCACACACACACACACACACACACACATCCATCCTTCAGTTAGTCTGACTTGCTGTTCGTCAAGTCACTTGCAGCTGTTTAATGCTTCCCAAGGGTTTGGGCAAAGAAAATAATCACTTACAAAACTGTACTTCTCCCAGAATCTACTATTTCAGGTTTTCTTTTCAAACAGCTGGTCCATGTCTTCGCCCTTTCCTCTTCCTTCAGAATTAAGCAAGAATTCAGGGGACACATTTAGACACACACTACCTACGTACTTAGCGAGGGTCTCAGCAGTCAATGCTACAAGGGTCAAAGAGCACCCCTTGCTCTTGGTAACAGAGACAAAAAAACTTCTCTCCCGTCTAGACAGGTCAAGGTGCACGATGCGCCCATCTCTGGAGCTCCTTCCGGAAGAGGGCGTGAATTGAAGCCAAGTGCACAGTAAACAACAGAGCTGCATCTTTGGGCCTTTAGAAGATTTCCCCTCTTCACCCTCTGCTGATCAAAGGAGGAAGTTATCATGACAACCAGAGTCAAAGAACCTGAATCACAAATGAACTAGGTTTTTTCAGTGTTGATATATCCCATCCCTATTGTCTCTTTTCTCACGCAGTATGAACCCTTCCGGTCTCAACGATTACATTACAGAAGGACTTTTATATGTGTGCTCATTTACACAAAGGGGTCCCTTCCTTTACCACCATCTGGCCACAAATCGGGGAAATAAAAGCAGAATTAAAATTAAAGTCCCTTCTTTCCAACCCCTTGTGCATCTCGAAGTAGGCCTTTTTACAATAGACTGTTCTTTTACCTTGTCCTACCTTATAGTTAGAAACCTAAGACCTAGGGAAATAAGATGGCTCAACATTAAAAAGAGAAAACGATTAAACAACGTTCTCTTCCTTGCTTCCATCCTTCCTTTCTTCTTTCTCTTCCTTTATTTGGCAGATGTTCAGAGATAGATTTTGTGTGCCATATTGAAGGCTAAATCATAAATAAAAATTGTTCTACACATGAGCACAGGCATGAACATGGACATGTGTTTGCATGTTTGTGTGTGTGTGTGTGTGTGCATATTCTCATATCTCAAAAATATATTCCTCCCCTATAATATAGAGAATACATTGCAAGTTTCCAAAGACATCAGGTGAAATGTATAGTCTGACACAATTTTTATCCAGCTTTAGGAGTAGGAATGGCAAAGCTGGGTACTTTGATATTACTTGGAAGAACTTCCTGCTAATTTCAATGGAGACTTATTTTTTTTACATGTAAAACATTTGCACCAAGTTGAAACAAAAGCCTTGCCTCCCCCCCTTCATGATACTTTAATGTTTTAAAGGGATGCACTTCTTTATTTTACAAAGTTGGTCTTGAGCTCATTGAGATGAATGATTTGATTTAAAAGATGCCTACTACAATAATGACTTAAATTTAGGAAGTTTGAACTAGGCTGCATCTACAGTATACTCAGATGTTTTTTAGCTATGCGGGTCTTAACTGACTTGACTGCAAATAAATAAGATTAATAATATTTAGGCCCATTTATCACAATGCTTAAACATATCTTCTTCCTGTGTATTGATGGTGAGCAAAGCACTTAAGACTTACTTCTAAGTAGAAGTAAGAGAAGATTGAGAAATTAAAATAGAAGGATGAAGCTATTACACAGAGTGGCTTCAAACTGTGCTGTTTTTCAGAAGACTATTTTAAACAAAAAAAAAGTGTTTTCTGAAAAAGCAGATAGGGTATTTAGCTAAGATTTGGGGAAGAAGGATATTTTTGATGCATATATCCAAGCCAATGAAAGGCGCTGTGGTATCAAACATAAGGGAAAAGTACAACAAACATTTGAGAATTGCTTTAGGCTTGAAGCATATAATTGGATACATAGTAAGGTAATCAGAATATAGGTAAGGCTATACTTCAATCTGAACCTAAAAATCTTTGTATTCCTTTGAAATAAGCATGTATCAAGAGATGCTGAATTATACCAAATACATTAGCACATTTCTGAATATACAAAGTCTTCAAGAAACAGTGAATGATCTAGTCTGATGCCCGACATGTATAAAAGAAAGTTCCTACTCCAAAAGAATGTTTGGTGATACTGATCCTATATAGATATAAGATATGTAAGAATAATTTGTGCAGGCATACAGAAAAAAGAAGTATACACTTTACACACCCCAATATATTTCTGAGGGACTTGCTTGCTTTCATGGCCATTTTCAATAACCTATTTTTATATTTAACAAAGGAGCTATAATAAATAAAATCCTAACGTTTCTTCTCTTCTCTCATCCCCAACTATTTAAAACGACCATAACTAAATTTAACACAAGATATCCAGATGGTTTTCTTGTTTTAAAAAAAAAACTCCTAAGGAGAGTAAACTCTCTGTTAGCAGAGTTTTGCGTGCAAGGAGATACAGCAGGCCAGATTATATCCTCACCAAAATTCATACACACATTAATAGATGAGGTTCTTATACCAATTCAAGATGGGCAATAGCACCCCTGCTTTTGTATAATTTTCTTGGTTCCTGAGTTAAGGGGGCTTCCCTAGAAGGCCACTAGAATTTATATTTCTACTTGTATAGAGTTTTGAGAAAGATATATCAAATAACCACCCGTGCAAAACCACCCCTCCCAAAGTTAAATATACTTTAAAATTGCTTTAATAATAAAATAGAAAGGGAGAGTTGGACAAGGGGCAGAAACCAAAAGCAATTCTATGAAAGCCCTAAAGATTCTGAATGGTGCTTGTCAATAGACAGCTCCCATTGTAATCACCCAGGAGATGTGGGGGCCTCCACCCTGAAAAAGCTGCCTCAGAGATAGTAACCTCATTAAAATATGAATAACAAGTCAGCCGTCATTCAAAAGAAAGAAAGGCATCTTATTCTGCATCAAATTTCGCCATCATTTCAAACAACCACAACAGAACAACACTCCCCTCCAAAAAAAAACAAAACAAAACCCTCCTCCATTTCCCTAACTGGATGTTTGTCGCATGTGGAAACAATGTTAGCAGCAGAGTGGATTAAGCCTAAACATTTTCAAAGAAATCACTTGTGTTGCCAATCTTTTAGAGCATACCCATCACATCTTTTAAAAAAGGGGTTAAAAAAAAAGGAAGACTCTCAAACCAGCGGTCAGATGGTCTTTCCAAGAACGCAAAATGTAAAAGAAGAGGAAAAAAGTTAACATCAACACACCTCGCGGGAGGAAGAATGGAAAGACACAACAATTCCAAGATATTTTAGCCAATTTTAAGCCGCAGGATGGAGAATTCATTACAAGCAACAATGACACCTTCATAACAGTCAATTACATGGAAGCTCATGATCCAGTTCATTACTGTGTCTCTCCTAATCTCATTGTAAATTTCTGCCTTGATAGAGAATGCAACTCGCCAAGAATGCAATTGGGATGTGGAAAGAAAAATAAAAACATAACTGCTACAGATGGACAGCTTCCAAAACCCAGATAGTCCATCAAATATTTCTGAACACTATTTTCCATGCAAGAATTTTTTCCTCTCTTCTATCTAGGTTTCACTATATATGATTTATGCATGCTTGCGAGTGTGTATCTCTACAATCACCTATAAGTAGGCACATCTAGAAGTAGATCCATACAGAAGTGAATAGAAATATACATCTACATTTATCTTCCACGCAGATAAATCACCAGCTTTCTCATTGGGAATAATATTCCAATTTTCAATATTTATTAAGGGTCAGTATTTAAAAATGAAAACTCAATCGTTCACCACCCCCTATTTGCTTTAGGCTAGTGCAGGAGAAACATGAATGCTGAACCACTCAAAAGGCTGATGGGATATATAATTAGCTATTATGTTAATTGAATCCACTGTGAGTTTATTGTATGAGATTTCTTCATATAATATGCAAATGATCTCTAAGGTTTAGTTTTATTAGACAATATAATTAGAAATCCTTTTAAAAGAGAGAATTCTAATGAGGTACAATAAAGGTTAGGAAAATATGTTTGCTATGTTGAGTTACCACCTGGGCTGGCTTAATTAAAATGAAAAGAGAGACAAAAACTTTTGCACACCAACCAAACCACCTCCTGCACATACACATTACACAAATAAAAGTTTAAAACCTTAATTGTTACACTTTAGAAATTTAATTTAAAATAAAATAAATCATTTATTTGTCTTTTACAATCTTTTACCATTGATTCATAATCCAGCAAGGTTTAATTCATTCTCCATCTATATTCTCTAGATTTCTTCTTAAGAGTCCAAGTCATTGGGTTATGACCAGAAAAAATTCTTAGTAATACCTGTTTTCCTATCCAGCTAAAGAGATTCTTGGAAATCCAGACTATATCAATTCTTGACATTGGATGAGAAATGTTTTGACCTGTTTGAGCCTGGCATTTTTAATTTTCATGTTCAATTTTCAAAATAAAGCCACAGATCCAGCTCTATATGCAAGAATAACGGATAGGGGATTCATCTAAAAAACCTATTATTATCCTGTTGATTAAGATATAT